AAAAGGGGACCCCTGGGTGGCTCAGTCAGATAAGAGTCTGCCTTTGGCCCAGGTCATGATCTCACAGTTTACGAGTTTGAGCCCTGCATCAGATTCTCTGCTGTCAGCACAGAGCCTGCTTCAGATCCTCTGTCCCCTTCTCTCCCTCTACCCCGCTCCTGCTCTCTCCCTCAAAAAATAAATGTTAAAAAAAATTTTTAATAAAAAAAACAAACACCAAAAAAACCCACAAAATTTATAATGTTCTAAACATATTTGTATTTCCCTCCTCACTGCATAAACAAGTATACAGAGCAACAAATCAACAATTTATTTTATTTATTTATTAGTATTTTTTAAAATACTATGAAATTTATTGTCAAATTGGTTTCCATACAACACCCAGTGCTCATCCCAACAGGTGCCCTCCTCAATGCCATCACCCACCCTCCCCTACAAATTTTTATTTTATAAAAATGGAACAGATTAACTACGTGAACAATTCAAAATCAACTACCAATAAATTTAATTCATACATTAAGTTTACTTACCCATGTCAGATTTCCGATATACAATGCAATTCTCTTTCCAGTATACGTATAGACAACATTTGGTGCTGCTCCTTTACCCACATCATCACCAACAGTTGGTGGGAGAGTATCCATGTAATCACGGTCTTCTGGGGCATCTCCATTATTTGCAGATGGAGAGATGACATCATCATACAAATCTATCTGATCATGCCCACCATATTCAGCTTCCTGAGACACAGAAATAATGCCCTAGATTATACAACAGTCAGACTACCACTAAATAAGAATACAAATTCATTCAACTATTTTGTTTTAAAAATCCAGTAGAAAATAAAGCCCCAAAGATCTCTGTACAAATCTTTAGGCCATAGATGTAATCTTGAATGGTGCCTCGAAAGTGAATTTTTACACAATAAATGCTATTTTCCCACTGATATATGTTATAATACAGGAAATAACGTTCCTCAGGGAAAAGAATACGTAGACAAAATACAGTAACAATATAAAACTTTTCTTGGAAGTACAATATTCTGAAAGTAGAAATAACAGTACATAAATGCAAATAGATGGACTTTAAAAAACAATACAAAAATATCACAAACAAAACTTAAATCCATTATAAATCTTTAACTGCAGAAAAATACAACTATTATTTTCTATGATACTCAGAATCTTGTTTTTCAACTCTGTGAAAGATGTTAGTTTTAGAAAAAAGCACACTGAGCTAAGCCAACGGGAAGGGATGAAGAAATGTGGGTACCTAAATTATTCCAAAATCATAACAAATCAACAGGAAAAGAGAAACTATAAATAAAATGAGTAAGACTATTCAAATTAGTATCTAGTGATAGTTCCATTATTCTCAGTCAATAAAGAGTTAATGCTTACTAGACTTCTTAGATCTGCAGTCAATTTAGCAAAAGATATCTAGTCAATTAGCAAGAGAAAAGTGATATGAACAAGGATCTAGTAAAGCTCTGCCATTGAGTGTCACCAACAGAATGCCCCTTACAAGCCTAAATGGTAAGAAAAAAAAGAAACAAAAAAGAAACATATGTAAACAGCAGAAAAAGGAAAAAGGCAGGTTCTACCCTAAGTAAGTACAAGAAAAATGAAATGCAGACATTGGCAGAACACTCAACCCCACTTAAATTGCCTTTAGTAAAGGCCACAGGCTTGACTAGCCAGAATCCAAAGAAAAACTATTATCTTCCTTCCTTTCCATCACTAAGTATCTAAATCAATGTGAACTATTTTTTCTTATGAGGTAGAATATTTGAGATAATAAAAAGAGAAGCAATTACAATTATAAAACAAACTTGAGTTCAGATATAAGCTACATAAGCTATATGCTCTCATTAATATAACTTATTAAGAATGAAATGTTATATAAATGGCACATAATGAGAAGCTAATAGTTCTAATAGTTTTAAGGACTATTACAAGAATAGAGAACGACCCACAGACAGGATTTGTAATATGACTGTAAACAGATCAACAAAATATTGTTATCATAGGCCCCATGGGAACAGAGCTCAATAGCTGTTTTGTTATTCAGAAGGGCATCAGAATTAAGATTTTTTTTTTTAAAGAAAAAAGAAAAAGAAAAAAAAAACCTAAAAGGGGAAATACCAATTATACACACAGTCAAATGGATCTGAAATTTACAAAGTCATCTTCAGGTAACCTTCTGCATAACCGACTTAACCAATTTACTAATTATATAACAGCATCTTTACATAACATTTTGTTATGAGGCCCAATGTCTCTAAGACTTATTTAATAAGGAATCCAAGATCTCAAAGTAAGTTAAACAACAAAGCCATCTTTAGCAATGGGCAGAAACTAAGACCACAAGTCACTAAATTATGCCATAATTTTGTTTGTACAGCAATATCAAAATAATCTTTCTTAACTGAGTTTTTCTTAAAGTAACATGTTCCAATTGCAGTGACAGTGAAAATTAGAAAAAAAGAGGATGAATTTTTGTTATCAAGTTTCAGTGTAGCTGAAGCTTCAGGCAGCTTGGTGGCAGCAGTGGTTCCATACACTTAAGATACTAAAAAGATTCCCACAAGGGGTAGTGGGCATTTTAAACTCCTGCAATCCGGTTCTGTACTTTATCAAATGGAATTATTATTATTACTATTATTATTCAAAGGGAGCTGTGTTTCCATTCTCCTTAGCAGAAACTATAGTCACAATATATGGTCTGAGGGAGAGTCAAAAAGAATGCAAGGATTATTTAAAGGGTTATGAAATAGGTTAACACATTATTTGATTTTTCATTAGTTGTAAATCTTGGAAAATGTACACACACTTAAGTAGACAATAATTTATAAGCATAATCGCAGCTACACTGACCTGGTGAATCACAATCAATTACTATTTTTGTCCATCCACAAATTGCTATGTTGACACCAACCAATTTTCCATATTGATATGATTCTATCAATATTTAGGATCAGCCATTTTGTCTGGTAGTTGGACTGCTTCCAATTGGTTGAAGTATGATGCTAATTGAGATCAGGGTCCTGGGGTTTGATATCCACGTGGAATAGTTAGCTTCACTTTGTTTCAAGGCCACAGCCTGTACTTCTAGCCCCAACAGTATGCATTTGAATGCGGTGAAAAAATATTAATGAATCTAAATACATTTGCTACCATTACTAAAAATGCAACTCAGCATATACTCTTTTAATGTCAGTAATCTTCCTTCAGCTTCAGCATATCACATCTATCCTCATTATAAAAAAAGATAACACCACATCTACTTTCTGTTCCCACTTTAAAAAGGGAGGGAGGGCATGCATATTCTGTAACTATGCAACATAATATCACAGGTCATATAAAAAAAGGTGAGCTCTGAATGTCTACTGAACAAAAAAATAGCTTCTACTTTGTCATAGAGAAATGGTCAACAGTGTCAAGTTCCACTATGGAAAGAATCTTTTCAAATTATTACCTTTAGGAAGTTTTAATGGCATTCAAAAACCAACCAACCAACCAACCCAAATCAACACAACCCCTCGAAATATTTCAGATGCCAAACACTGCCCAGTCTTTATTTTTCATACTAATTAATCTACTAACAGAGCTGCACATTATATATAACTTCCAGTAAAATAAAAGTTCTTCGGATTTGTTAAAAAATCCAAGTGATTTTTTTCCATTTCCTACATTCTAAATTACTACAAGCATTATAAAGGCAAGGCATCCTTTCAAGATTTTATACTTCAAGATTATAGTCTACGTGATATACAAGTAGCTGTTGCCACATTAGTGAAAACATTAAAACAACATGGATAGTAAAATAATGAAAATTCTATTAGGTCCTTTTTAAAGGCAATGTTTCTTAACTTTTTCATTACCACCATCTTCTTCCTTCCAAAGACTTATCTTTAGACATACTTTCCTTATCACCTCCAATAAAATTTTAATTTTATGTATATACTGTATATACTATTACTGGGATGACCATGGAATAACAGTATTACACTCTTCACTCTCCCTAATAAGCCCAACGTGGCCTTTGGTGATCTGAAATTGTAATAATACCTTTCCTGCATTATATAAATACCAGTCATGGTACAGTAAGAGCCACTTATTTCAAAGCCCCTCTATTAAAAAAACAAAAACAAAAAAGGAAGGAATTTAATAGTCATTTCCATTTGGAGAAATATAAAGGAGGGAGAGGTTTACAGTTCGTATTTACAAAATGTATCCCATACCACGGAAGAAAAATACTAGCATGCAAAATCCAACAGCAGATAATCTAATATATATTTATCTTTATAAAAAATACATCATCTTCTGATTTTTATCTACTTACGGTATGAGGAGATCTGAAAATTCGTCTGTAAACCCTGTAAAAAGCTCAACTAACAATAAGGAAGCCAACTTGGTACTAAAAATATGCCACATAAACCACAAAGTGGACAGTTCACAGGCAGCTGATAAAGCTACACTGATAAAATGGGGCGCCTGGGTGGCTCTGTTGGTTGGGTGGCCGACTTCAGCTCAGGTCATGATCTCACAGCTTGAAGGCTCATGGGTTCGAGCCCCGAGTCGGGGCTCTGTGCTGACAGCTCAGAGCCTGGAGCCTGCTTCAGATTCTGTGTCCCCACACACCCCCCCCACCCCGCCCCTCCCCTGCACATCCTCTGTCCCTCTCTCTCAAAAATAAACATTAAAAATTTTTTTTAAATAAAGATAAACTACAATGATAAATAATAAAACTAAGAGTTCTAGTTCCCCTAATATTTCTCCCATGGTTTCTCAATCTCTACCTACCTCATTCTCAACCACAGTTTTATCTCAGAGGATATTCTATTAAACATAAATTTATCAGAGACAAGATTTCACTGACATTTGTCCAATAAACTTTTTTTCAAAATGGGCTAAACAACTGGCTAAAGCAAATACACAATGCTTAAATATAAAGTATAATGACTCATGAATGAAGGCAAGTTGACTTACGAGGATGTCTAGGTCCTTAACTTCTACATGAATTTTTCCCTAGCCACAACCTATATACATTTTCATTTTATTTTATTTTATTTTTTTTTAATTTTTTTTTCAATGTTTTTATTTATTTTTGGGACAGAGAGAGACAGAACATGAACGGGGGAGGGGCAGAGAGAGAGGGAGACACAGAATCGGAAACAGGCTCCAGGCTCTGAGCCATCAGCCCAGAGCCTGACGCGGGGCTCGAACTCACGGACCACGAGATCGTGACCTGGCTGAAGTCGGACGCTTAACAGACTGCGCCACCCAGGCGCCCCTACATTTTCATTTTAAAGCTGGGTGGTCAGATTACTAAATAAGCACTGCTATCAGTGATCTACCGGCAGACAGATCAGTAACTAAATTCTATACTGAGGTTTTGATCTCCAAACAAGCAAAACACACACTTCAATGTATACAGTGTAAACTTTCCTGAGGTTCCTAGAATTTTTTTACCCGCCCCCCCCCACCAACAAACAAGCTACAGATAAAGACACACATAAAGGAGTGGGTTTTACAATACATGACCTGCCAGAATGTTATAATTATGTAGAGTCCCTCACCCCCACTACAGAGCATTCTAAGGGTAGAGATTACTGAACTTTGTAACCCTCCTTGTTGGCATATAACAAATAATCAAGAAATGTATTTTGAACAACCGAGTTTAAAAATTTAGTCTTGGTCAAAATAAAAAAGTCTATAATTATATTAAATAGTAGGCTAGTAACTACCACATAAGAACACAAATCCCAGTTCAAACTGGACTGACATATACTATAGAGACTGAAACAGAACTGCTTTCTTCTCAACTCCAGATCAAGTAATGTAGAGGTTTGGAAGTAGTTCAAATTCTCTTTCCACTGGAGCAACTGTTCTCAATTTGGTTACATCCAAAGACCTTCAATTTAAGAACTAAAGAGCACCCATAAAATAGCAAAGTCCCTTGTGCCTTCTCCCTTTCTCCAACTTTATTCTCCATTCTTAAATTCATCTGGTGAAGAAAGGAACTCGATAGTCTCACTAAACTTATTCTCAACCGCATCCCCAAATTGAAGTTTCTTCTAAGACACTTGGATGTCCCCTATTTTTTGAAATATGAAAGAAAGAAAGCTTCATAAAATACACCTGAAAAAGGATTCATAAGTATCACTTCAAACAGAAGAAAATGGAAAATAGACTACAGAGAATTTTAAAGTATACAAATGCAATTAAACTGCACCTCACATGAAGAATAAAGTTTTTTTGAAGGTTTACAGCAGTTTAGAAGCCAAAATAAGTCAAGATTGATTATACTTAGTAAAACACTTTACTCAGCTACAGTAAGTCATAATTTACTTTAGCAACCAGTAGAAAGAAGGTTGCCAGCTCACAATAAAGTGAAAAATCAATCAGGAATAATTCTGTATTACATCTAATTCTGATCAAATTTCAGAAAAATATTTCAACGACAGTAACATTTTAAAAAAGAGGATTAACCTTGAAAACGACCAACCATCTTTTTGTGCAAGAATTACCACAGCAAGCAATAGATAACAAAGGCCAACGCTATGCAAAATAATAACAAAAACAAAGCCTCTATTTAATCCCATTAATGTATTCAAAAGTACTGTATAAAAATTTACTGGTAAAATTATACAACTATGTGTGAAATAAAATGCTAGAAGTTCAAATCAACAAAAAGCTACATTTTTAAGAGAACCCTACAAATAGTTCCTCATCAGGGCCACAAAATTTTAATCTCTTCTTACCTCCTGCTCAGTCAGCACTAGTTACTGCACAGGGATAAACAAGTCTATCACTCCTTCCAGCTATATGTATTAGAGAAATGCCCATCCCAAATTAAGTATGTGAAAGCCTAAAAAAAAAAAAAAAAATCTCTGATGGAGAGGTCCTGAAGAAAGTTCAGTTTCTAAAATTGTACCCAAATTCTTCTTTTATCATAAGGAAAAAGGCAAAGCAAATGTATTTTCTTGTAGGAAAAGCTAATGAAGAAATCTTGAACATTTAACTGTTCCTTTACTCGTGGGTATGGCCTTCTTTTAGATGGGATGTTATGCCCATTTGATAAATAAAAAGAAACTTCCTAGAGATCTTGTGTCTACTGACCTTAAAAGCATTAGAATCTGACTGTAGCACTCAAGATAATTTTCTAATTTGTCACTGACACAACTCAGGCATCACATGTCCAAAATATAAACACAATAAAAGGCACGAAGAATTTAAAACGTAACGTTTGATTACACTAACCAGTTTTTAAGGGAGTAGCACACATTTAAAGCTAGTTGAAAAAAAAATTTTTTTTTCTAATACTTAAACCTGGGGCACAAAGTCATTAGTGAAAACAAGAACAGTAAGGATTTCTAGCTTTCCCTATCTTTTAAATACTCTTCAGCCCCTAGTCACAAACAATGTAGGGGCTTTTGTGTGACTCAGTCCTTAAGCCTCCGATTTAGGCTCAGGTCATGATCTCAGGTTCCTGAGTTCCAGCCCCGCATCTGGCTCTGTGCTGACAGCAGGGAGCCTGCATGGGATATTCTCTCATTCTCTCTCTCTCTCTCTCTCTCTCTCTCTCTCTCATTCAAAGATAAATAAGCATTAAAAAAATATAGAAGTCTCTAATGTAGGAGGAAAAAAAAAAACAAAAAAGAAAAACGCAATAACCAGTAGCACTGTATTAAGCTTCTCTTACAGACCTGGAAAGCATAAAAAAACAAGCTTTTAGGTGCACTACAGTTAGGCACAATTTAATTTTTTAAAATGTGTTACTACATAAAGGCAGCAAAGATGTGAACAGCAGGTTTAGAGCTTACACGTCACTACTCTAGTAACAAACGAGATCTTTTGCAAAGATGCCCAACATCAGACATCACAGCTCCGCGGCTAGTTCTTCTAGTCAACTGTGGCTTGTGAGATACCGGAAAAACCTTGCATTCTCACTTTCTCCTACCTTTCAAAACGTAAAGCAAATCCCTGGGAAGACATCTAACATTTTGCTTTTTGAAAATCGGGTCTTATTTACAACCCTTTATTTTTACACCGTACTAAAGAATTTCGGCTGAACGTTCTTCATTTTAGCAACTCCTCTTATCTCTTGGTGAGCAACCATCTTATTTTTCCATCCAACCACTACGCTTCCAAGTCTTCCTTTTGGTTCAGGCCACCCATCTTCACACGTATTTTCATCACAAAAGCCAAGAACAACTGGGCCTCAACGGCACTGCAAGACCTGAACCACCGAAGCACGGCCCACGCACCGATTTTTAAACACGCTCGATGGTCCAAAAGTCAAACGACGACTTGTTGCAAACGTGCCCACACCTAAGCCGCCTTCAGAAAGTGTGAAGGGAGGAAGAGGAAGGCGCCACGCCGAAACCTGTCGCAAACTCGAGCAGGAGCCCAGGAAACTGGGCGCGCGGGATACAAAGGGCCATGAATGCGGCCTTCCATGAGGCGACCGTGCGCGGCCGGGGAGACAAAATGGAGCGACGAGAGGAATCGGAGCCCGAGCTGCAGGGCCGGGGAAGAGGCGGCGGCCGGCGCGCGCCCCGCCGGGCTTCTTCCTCGACCCCGCGGCGGGGGAGGGGGCGCGGCGGCGGCCCGTTCTCCCCGCCGCGCACACGCGGCCCCGCCGCCCGGGCCTAGCGCGGCGGGAAGCGCCCGCCGGCCGCCGCCAACAATGGAGCTGGTGGCGGCGGCGAGGGAGGGGCCGGCGGCGGCTGCACGG